CTTTTTTTTTTTTTTTAATAAAACCAATAATATGAGATGTGTCCTTAACTCCTTAACATCACTTCATAGTCATGGCCTGGTTTGAATGTCACGGTTTAGTGCTAGGAAATTCAAATAGAAACTGTGAAGCACTTCAGATCTACCTATAGTCTCACCTAAAACATAATTTCAACTCGGTAGCGACAATCATACTACAAATGGTAAATGTCTCACTCATATTGGGCATTTTGGATGCCTTGGATGCAACTGCTAAATAAGTACAGATGCATTTCAAATTTACCTTTCATCAGAAAAATGATAGAGAAACTAATAGTCAATCGACTGACTAGTTTCCTAACCTTGAACAGCTATTTTAATAACTTTTATTAAGGATTCTGGCCCAACCATAGCACTGAGACTGCTCTTATAAAGATTCTTCATGGCATCTGTTTAAATATGGATTCTGGTAGAACATGTGTTCTACTACTACTGTAATCTCAGTGTGGCCTTTGACACTATTTATCTTAAAATCCTTACCGGGTGGAGGCTATTTTGTTGATACTGAGAAATGTGAAACCGAGCAGATGTCTACGATTTGTGCTGTTCCCCAGGGATCGGTCCTCGGGCTTGCGTTTGTTAAAATTATACACTCTTCCCCTTCCAGATCTTACAAGATGATTGGAATATTTTACCACAGATCTCCAGACGATATTCTGATTCATCTAGCTCTTTCACCTAATGTCTATGGTGCCATTGACTCATTGTCATTGCATTAATCATATTAATAACTGGATCTGCCAAAATGTCCTGCAGCTTAAAAAAAAAGATCATACCGAGATCATTTTAATGAGATACAATGAAGAGAGATGTAGACTTGCTCCTTATCTGGACAGCAGAGCCCTCTGATCAAAAGAACAAACACAAAACCTTGGTGTTTAATCAGTCATATAAAAGCCATTACTAATCACATCAATCAACATGTTCTCAATCAACACGTCCGCACTGGTGTTATGAACACGCAGGTCTCAGTGTCTTGTCTGACTAATATCCACAATTGTCTAATGGGTAAAAAATTTAGCCATATACAAAATTAAATACGAAGTGGAGATTTTTATAATCAGAAGCGAAGCTGGCGTTGGATCTCCTCTGAGTAATTATACATGCCATGATGGAAATATCAAATAAGAAACATTGAGATTGATGCATCTGCTTTGTTTAGGCCTGTTTGTTCTTTAGACATGGTCTAATAGTGATTAGAAAATTTGTTATTGCTGGAAAGAAAAGATTTTCTGTTCTTTCTTCTCTTTATATGATTTTTATCGTATGTATTATACAGTACAGTGCAAAAGTCTTAGGCACATGCAAATGCTGTAAAGCAAAGATGCCTTCAAAAATACTATAAAGAGCAATAAACAGTAATAATTGAAACAAAGTCAGTATTTGGTGAGACGATCCTTCGCTTAAAAAAAAAAAAAAGTAGTCTCAGGTACAACTTGTGCAGTTTTAAAAGGAAATGAGCTGTAAGTGTTACTGAGCATCTTGCAGAAGCAGCTACGGCTCTTCTGGAGACTTTGTCGCACTTGCTTCTTATTTTTGCAGCAAAACCCAGCAGCCTTCATTCTGTTTTTGTCTGAAAAGTGTCTCTTATGTAATCTGCTGCTTTCTTTACTGACATACAAACATTTAATTTTGTCCTGGAATCTAAAATGTTTTTGCACTGAATCAATAATGTAGAAGTCATAAAATAAACATCTATAACAAAGTTGATACTAAAAAAAAAAAAAAAAAAAAATAGGGTGCCTAAGACTTTTGCACAGTACTGTACATCACCAACATCTCCAGTTTTTGCAAAACATACAAAATGTATTTGCACACAGCACTGTCTAAATGCCTTTCACACTTTATGCTATATTTATATCCTTTAGAGAGATCAGTGCATAGAGATTACCAAGCAATAAGCAAGTAATCTTCTTTAGGCACTGGTAGAAAGGCACTCTCCTTTTACCATACTTAGCAAAGTAGTATCCTTAAACAACATTTATGGATGTAAAAACCCCTATTATAAAAATCCTAATCATAGTCATAGATGGTATAGTTGTAGCAAGTAGATGATGCAGTGAAGGACTAGGCTTGAACATCACATTGAATGAATGTACAAACTGATCATATGGTAATCAGTACAAATGTTTTCTCCTGTTATGCGCTTTAAGAGAAAATGGCATCATTATGGCTTTGGAATTACACTTTGGAACAGACAGATCAGACAGATGCATTTACACTTGTATAAAGTGGCTAAAATGTGTCTCCGACCACCTCGAGTGTGTTGTGCATCTGTTTCAAATGCATCTCGGGTGCATTAACACTCCTGTTTTTTTACGTGGATAATCTCCATCCGGATAAAATCCTAATACTGATGATGCATGAAACAACCAGGTGTAAACAGGATCTTTAACTGTCTTTTTGCTTATAATTTTAAAGGCACAACTGGGAGACAGCACACTCCAAAGCAAACTCCAAATTGCTTGTATAAACATCTTTTTTTTTTTTTTTTTGCTTTATGAGTACTTGCATACGACTACCTGAGATAATAACGTGTGAATGGATTTCAGTGGAACTCTAAGCAAGCTTTTCTCAAAATTGTCAGAGACTCAAAATTTTAAATAGAAGATGTTTCTTCTGGTATTAATATGATGTTTGGTCTTCTGAGAGAACATTACTGAAGCTGCTCCGTGTATATAAAGTTGCATAAAAGTCAAACCTAGAGTTCCAACTGTTACGCCATTACACCAGAGAAGTGTTTGAATTTACATTACGCTGGCTTACCGAGCGCATTCAGTAATCTATGGGCAGAATGAGTTATGGGGAAAAACACTCTGAGATGACTTCCTTTGCTCTTTCAGTGCATTTCCAGACCTGACTGATGGTGCAATTCACATTTTCTTCTATTTCTCATTCATTTTCACAGAAATTGGTGTAATTTCAAGGTTTTAACTGAGCCAAAACTCTACTCTCAAGGCCACAACAGGCATCCTGATTAATCAGATAACTCATGAATATTTATAAAGCTTTTTTCCACTCAGTCATCTAAAAGGGATTTAAATGCCATGGTAACAGTTTGAACACACCACAGTGTGCTCGTGGTTGATAAGAAATGCACAGTATGCTTCTGTTTTTGTTTCTTATTTCATTAGAGTTTATGGTCTTTTATTTGATTATTGCTCAGCAAGTAAAACTGAGTCGTTCCCGTCAATAATCCACTGCAGATGACTGGATTTGATCTCGCTCATAAAACCCAGCCACCTCTTTTGTAAAAGTATTTACAATTACAAAGTATTTAACCTACAGTACATTCAGAAAGTATTCTGACCATCTCAGTTATTCCTCATTTTATGACATTACACCCTTAATCTAAATAGTGATTTAAAAACAGCTTTCATAAAGTTTTATTAATGTTGTAACACCTTTACATCAAATTTGGCGCACCTGGATTTGGAGGATATTCTCCCATTTCTCTCTGCACAACGTCTCATGTTCTGTCAGGTTGGATGGAGCGCATCACTCTCCAGAAATGTTTCAGTTATTAAACTGATTAAACTGGAATCATGTTTGGAATTCAACCCTCTGAACTGGGTGGGCAAAAGTATGAAAACATCATGGTGTAATAACTGTACAGTCAATATCACTACATCATGTGATTTAATAATGACGGTATTCGTTTGCATTTGTATCGCAATTAGTCTTCAGTAGTTTATCAGAACAGTGTAGAAATACAGTACTGTACAAAAGTCTTAGCACCTTATTCTTTTTTAATACCAATTTTGTCTACAATATTGCATCATTAAAAAAAAAAAAAAAAGCACAAAAATGTTTGTACGTCAGTTCAGAAAGTAATATTACTTAATAGCCCACTTTACACACACACACACACACACACACACACACACACACACACAATACATAAGGCAGGTATCTGGCAGGTATTGCACTTAAATTCATGTAGCCTGTAGTTAATAAACATTAACAGTGTATTTCCTTGGTATATCATGTGTAACAGTGTATATCATGGTATACTGCCATATTTGATACACCGTCACACCCTTATTTGTATACTTAAATAATTTAGATTGAAGTCAGTTTTTTTTTTTTTTCTTTCAGTTTCTCTGCAGCTGTTCGAAATGCTGCAAAATGATGACCCCTTGGCTGGGTGAGTGTTAGCTAATGCCTGGTGTAACACCTGTAGGGACTGTGGAATGATCTAGAGACGCTCACTGAATATTCTGACCCCTCAACCTGTCTCGTTTAAAATTCCACTTCTCCGTAACTGCATTTCAGATTCTTCTTGAACAGATGAGATTTCATGTAGGACAAAATATACAATATGATGAAGTCCAAAATTAAATGGCAGTGGTTGTGGAATAATCAATTTTTCATCTCTTCAAATCACTTGGGACAAGACAATCATAGCTTCAAAATATGCGGATCATTATGAGACAAATGTATCTACTTCAGTCTTGAAAGATATGAAAGATACTGCTACATTAAATCAAAGATACATCCTGCAATAAACTAAAGATACGGTTCTGAGGGGGAAAAAATGAATGAGTTCATATTAGAATGTGGAGTGGTGGCAGTTACATAAGCCTAGTGGAGTAATCAAAAGCCTTGTTTCTCGTGAATTATGGTAATTAGTTCACACTCTTTCTGAATTGATTGGACATGGTGTTGGTGGCACAGAGGAAGTGGTGAATGAATAAATTGCTTGGGCTGGTGGAACGAATCTCACGGTCCTTGGCATTAAAATATCTCGGCCTCCAACATAACAAGAATATGACTAATGTTTTTTTTTTTGGCCAAATTGACAAATCACAAGTACACTGAGAAAACAGTTAAATGCCATTCTTGGCTTGTTGCTTGTTGCTAAAGGGGAATCAGATTGGCTAAATTAAAGCAAATAGAATATATAAGAATATAATGGTTGCAAATGGATTCTGTTTCTAGTTGCATTGGGATAAACTCCTTTCTGCCAGGGGCAGTGGTAGCTCAGTGGACTACCGATCAGCAGGTCGTGAGTTCAAATCCCAGCACCTGCAACCTGCCACTGCTGGGCCGTTGAGCAAGACCCTTAACCCTCAACTGCCAGATGTATAAAAAAATGAGATAAATGTAAGTCAGTCTGGATAAGAACGTCTGACAAATGTTGTAAATGTAGTTATAATTTAGCACTCATACAATTCCAGAGTGATGTCTACAAGTAAATATGACTTTTGATCCCAAACACTTGCTATATGTTAGAAAAGAAATATGGACCAAACTAGATAGCTATGCTTGTTGCTAACAAACCACAGGTTAGCCAGACTACATTAGGCTTTTGTTTTTAATTCAGGAAAAACAACTACAACTACAACTTGCAGTAACTATCTGGTTGACAAGGTATTAAGCATACATAAGGTTTAGGTCATAACTTCATTCACAAATATATGAATGGCATGAAAATGTAGCTACAAATGTCTCCTACAGTAACAAGGGTTTTTTTTGGGCGGGGGTGGGGGGGTCTGGTCTGGGTTTTTATCATTAATGTTTATATTCATGTGAGAATCATTTCAGATTCCTACTAGCAAGGCTTCCAACTGGAACCATTATTACCCCTTGATATATTTTTTTTTTCATTTCTCTGTCAGATGTTTTCATAATGGATGCATTGTTTGTGAAATTATTTGCATGATAATTTAAAAAGAAATGTTAACAATTACAGTATATAACATTTAAATGGCAGCCTACCCCTAGACATCAGAAGTGCGTCGTCAGTTACCATTTTAAAATCAAAACTAAAAACGTGTCGTCTTGCTTGCATTTTGAATTTTTCCTTTTTATTCCATCCATTTTCTGTACCACTTAACCTCCACAGGGTTCCTGGAGCCCATCCCAGGGAACTTGAGGCACAAGGCAGGGGACAGCCCATCACAGGGCACAACTGCACACACACACACACATTCACACACTGCAGACAATTTGGAAATGTCAATCAGCCTACAATGCATGTCTTTGAACTTGGGGAGGAAACTGGAGAACCCGGAGGAGACCCCAGAACCATGGGGGGGACATGCAAACTCCACACACGCAGGGCAGAGGCAGGATTCAAACCCCCAACACTGGAGGTACGAGGCAACAGTGCAAACCACTAAGCCACTATTAATTATTTATTGTGCCCTGTCTGTCTTTTTAGTCTCAAATTTATTCTTATGTACAGCTTATCTTTGGGCATCTATTGTTTTTTTATGTAACTGTATTGATGCTTTATAAATAAAACTTTCTTACTTACTTAATTACTTACTTATACTAAAATACTGTACAAAAGGTTTGAAAAACCTCCATCTATGCTGCAACCTTCCTTCTTTATTCCAAATTCTATCTTGGTACCATTTCACAAAAAAAAAAAAAACTACAACAGCGCTGTAAAGAACAGAAAACTCTAAAGAAATATTTTTCCAGGTGTTATATCATATATACAGTGTATATATGATTTAGTATAATTTGCAGTTGTCTTTTTAAGGTAAGCCTTCGGGTAAAGATACATCACTTTCAGTGTTTGTATTCTGTTTATTTTGGCATATAGTAAATTAAATCGATTTCAAACTTCACTTCATTTTTTCTTGTGCAAGCCAGAATGGAAAATGACACAATACTGAAGAATAGGCCTTGGTCTATTCATGTGGAACGGGAAAGCAATTCACACCCAAGAATCGATCTGCCTTGAAAGTGGGCTTTGTCTAAAGGTCATCATATCTATATATATAATGCATTTGTGTTTCAAAGTGACACAAACACTGCATTCACCCCAGAAAGAACAATATGTTCAGAAGAGTCTCGCTCTGCTGTTTTAACAACCGTCGTATAAATCATACCTCTCTACTCCTGAGCCAATTTGAATCCTACATCTGTGTTCCATCCCTAGCCTGTTTGTTATGAGTTGCTTTAAGTGTTATGCAACGTGTGGTGCTAACATGTCCATCAATCCCACAAGGCACTGAAGCACTGAAGAATGACACCGATGAGCTCATCTGACAAATGAACCTTCATGAGACCAAATCACAAGCAGGATTATGGATCAGAACCTGGTAGATCTTCTTTTGGCCAAAAGAAGTGAAAGCGCAGGCATTGCTTGGAAAACGCTAAGATTCTGTAATACAAATCTAAAAAAAAAAATTCAGTCAAAAATAATAATATCAAGCATTTCATATTTTATTGTTTTTTATTCTACCACCTCAGTCCTGAGCTTGAGTTACTGTCTGTGTGGAGTTTTGCATGTTCTTCCTGTGTTTGCATGGGTTTTCTCCGGATTCTCCAAATTCCTCCCACTGTCTAAAAACATGCATGTAGGCAGTCTGGCTATGCTAAATTGCCCAGAGGTATCAATAAGCATGTCAGTAGTTGTGTGCATTGTACCCTGCGATGGACTGGTGTCCCATCCAGGGTGAATTCTCCCACCTTGTGCCCAGTGTTCTCAGGATTGCCTTTGGATCCACCATGACCCTGACCAGGATGAAGCGATTACTGAAGATGAATGATTGGATATTTTATTTTTATGTAGATTAGAAAAATGATTTAGTCTACAGAAAAATAACAGGTCAACAGATTTCTAAATGGAGTGTAGCAGTGTAATAAGGGGGAATGGCCCACTGAGACAGGCCCACAGTGACGGACATCACTATGTTGAGTTTGAGAGAATGCTGGTGAAATTCAGAAAAATTAGAAATTTTGGATTATATCTTCCAAAACGTGATGAGTGACTAATCAAGCAAAATAGTAAAATCAAGCCTTCTACGCTTGACAGGTGACTCATTACAGTAGCAGCATTACAGAGTCAAGTGTTAATCATAGCGCACACTGCTTTTGCCGGGGATCAGCGCTCAGTGTGATTATGGAGAGCTGTGAATTAGGTTAGTGAAATGCATGTGCTATTACAGGCTGTGTGTGCAACCAGGGAGAGTGCCAATATGGCATAATCAATTCGCTCCTCTGTGTGCTCAAATAGAGACATGTCTCAGGAGAATGAATGGGTAGAAGAATCAAAATGAGAGAAATCTGTTTTCTGAGAATAAACATACATTGAGCTAAATTACATTGCAATGATATGGGTGATATGATTACTGTAGGTGGTTAGTGAACAGGCCACACACGGATGCTAATCAGTTCTGTATTAACACTGTGGCAATTGTACCCAGATAGGAGTACAATAAATAATAAAAATAAAAATTGCAGACACAATATGGTTGAGTTTAGGCATGCTTGTACAACATTTTGGGCCAAAAGTGGCCCTCACTGTATGCTCTGCTCCATATCATCCCTGGGATATTATCTTATCAAAGTTGAGTTATGTCTGTGTTCTGGCAGCCAGACTTGAATGAGTTCATTGCTATTTATCGCTGTCATGGCAGTATGTGGATGAGATGAACTGGTGAAATGTTGCCCAGCATTAGGACATTATTCATTTGCTACCAGGGTAAGGAATGGACCCCTGTTTTTTCTTTTTCAAATCAATAATCCGAAATGCAGGCATTAGCTCCCCACATAGATTAGCTCCACACATTCCACGCAGAGCAGTGAAGTAGGCTATACTTCGCTATGACTCACTTCGGAAAGTGAATCTTTAATCAGACGTCAACCATTCATTAAAAAAAAAAAAAACAACAATTGTCAAAAAAACAAAACAGGACTGTTATGCACCAGTTTCTTTGAAGGCAACACACTAGGAATGTGTGTCTGAATATGAATACATTATGCAAATGAATAGATAATGTGTTCTAAACAGATACAAATAGGAGGCACACTATTGTTTTTTTTAGAAAGCTTACCAGACTTAGGCTACTAGTTTGTTCAGCTTTTGGGAAACACAACTAACTAAATTTGTTAGATCAAAAAAAAAAAGTGAGCAAGCAGAATTAAAAAAAAACTGTCCTGCCCACACCTCTAATTGAGATCAATCAGGTACTTGAGTGATGAAGCTGAGATTGAGGACAATGCAGGTTTTTTCCTCCCAGTGTTTCCAAGTATATTTTGGCAAAGTTCATATTTATTTGCAGTGCATGAAATCATGCAGGTGTAGGACAAGAATTTGAGTTAATGTTCCCATCAAATATCAGAATGGGAAAATTGTGATCTCAGTAACTTTACATTTCACTGGACAGCTGCCTGGTCTTTTTCCTTCAACTGCCTAGTTTTGGTGCACCTCTGCACACTGTTCTTGTCAACTCTTGCTGAAAATGCACACTCAAAAAGAGATCAACCAAAAGAACTCAACCAAAAGAACAAATTAAATATGTGTGTGACATTATTCTCAAACTGGCAGAATGAACGACAGAATGACAAAGCATGAGAGTGATAAGCATTGCAAATGTACACTAGCCTTAGCTAGTCATTAACAACACATGGGCACTAATGATGCATCCCAAGGCAGACAGATGCTGTCTAAAGCCCAGTACTGGAAAGAGGCACTGAAGCATGTTGGGTTTAACCTTCTGCAGAGACGATGAAATTTTGGGGTGTCCACATAAAGGCAATTAGTTAGTCATTATAGAATGAATCTAGATTTTTGTGTATTTAGATTTTTGATAGAACATATGAAAATGCATATGGAAAGGATTCCTGTTTGGTCTTGACTATTTATAAGAAATTCATTGATGTAGAGGATCAGGAAAATGATCTGAACTACAGCCTATCTGTTATTTACCCCTGACTTGTGTCATCAGATCAAATTTTACTTGCTTTTTCTGATTTGTGAGAGAACTGGAACATTGTACTGGCCTCAAACCTGTACTAAACACATTACTGTACTGAAAATGTTCAGCGCCTCTGACTTTGAGATCAATAATTGCCATGAACAGATTTATGACAGTGCATCCAATACATCAAGAACATTAAATTGGCTGCAAGCACTCTATAGCCCTATTCAGACAGGTTTAAATTTACGTTGGAACCTGGAGTATTTCCATCATTTGCACATGTTCTTCTATTATCTTATTTCAATGAATGCTTTGGAAGACTCTCTCCACAGTTTACTTGGTATGGGTCATGTAACTTCATATTCATATATA